TACTTACAGACTGTGAGTCAGAACTGCCGGCATTGTAGTCTACTCTCCCAGGATCAGAAAACAGTCCTCCATAAAATGCGCTGTACACATCTGAATATTTGGTTTGAACTGTTCTGGAACAGTGTTGTAAATACAACTTAACCACTGATTTCTAGTTGTGTCCTCTTTTGGAAGGCCAAACAAAGTATTTTCACTTTCGCAACGAAATACACAGCGTCTTCACAACATGGAGGCGGCGGTGGCAGCAACAATAAAGTTACGCCTTCTTTCTTTGCGTAAACATTTGGGCGGCGTTATGCAAATCTTCCCACACAGTGACGTAGACATGTGGGGGCGTTTAAACAAGGCATTTTAGGAGGGTGTGGACCAGTCTTAACTTTTATAAAGAATATCTCTTTAGGTTTGTGACTTTAGTCTTTGCAACTTTAGGGATCATGCACAAACACAAACAGCTTGTAACACTCCAAAGGAAAACTTGAAATTGTATCATATGACCCCTTTAAGTTGACCTTTTTCATCTGTATAATGCTATCCCTTCATAAAGACAAACATGCTCATAAACATGCAAACATGTACAAATAATAAATAAATCAAAAAATCTATAAATTGCTTACATTTTGTTTTTAAACTATAAAATCTTTAAATTGCTTATAGTTTGGAGGTGGTTGAGTTTTGGGTTGGGTTTGAGTTGAGTTGACCTTTTCCATCTATCCCTTCATAAAGACACGCATACTCATAAACACATGCATGCTTTTATTCATGCAATGAGAAAACGCCTTTACTGGGGTGGAATGAAACGTCAGCCGAAACCTTTACACAGAAGCACACAGAGCACAGCAACGCTCTGCACATCCCTTGTTTTTGTATTTAATATGCAGAACACAAATGGACATGAAGGAACACAATCACAATGTCACCCTCACACACAGAATAACCTTAGGTTAGCCAATAATTGTAACCCTGAGTCAGTAGTATTCAGACGCTGACCCCGTAGCTAACCCCCACCCAGCACAGGAGGCGTGTAGACTGCAGGCTAAACATCAGCCCAGAGAGACACACACGTACACACACGCTTACTCGTACAGCGCAGGCGGAGGTCAGCCATCGGGGTCAACCTAAACACCCTGCAGCTAGCAAGTCACAGCTCTAGTGTCAAAGCAGTGATAACACATTGACATAATGGCTGCTAAACGCACATACATCGATTCAGGACACACTCATAAACTCACACGAATTACTGAGTCAGATGTTTAATGTCAACATGACATCAAAATGAACCCTATTAACTGTCTAAATGGTCTTAATGTGTGTAATACATCAGTGCATGTTGTTCCATTGGGGAAAAAAAGGCTTTATAGTCTTTATAGTCAAAATGAAATGACTTGCTTTGCCTCTTATATAACTTTTTGGCTAATGTCATCAAGTTTTTACTTCTAAGTCCATCCCCTCCACTTTTCACAATCCAATCATATCCCATTCTACAATCAGTACATTTACTGAATTAAAATTGGCTGTGAATGTCGTTTCATGTTGACTTTAAAATGTACGTCTAAATTCATACAAGCAGACATCCAAAACACAGTCATGTTCTCAAATTTGTTGCATTTGTTGTTTGTTTGATCCTGTTCTTGTCATGAAAAACATCCAAAATAACCACCCACAGTTCAATACTCATTTTGTGAAAAAAAGAACATCTTTTATTCCATAAATTTATCAGTATGGAACATGAACAGAGATTGAATGGTCTGAATTAGATTTGGCACAGAACCATTACAGCAGAACGAATCTGCCCACCTCCACACACACACACACACACACACACACACACAAACACACTCATATACAAACATACATACAAACACGCACACGACACATTTCAGATGTTAAGAATACACACATTCCAGAGCGATTTATCCAACAGGTTCAAACAGAGTCAGGAGAAAATATCACATTAACAACTACTTCCAATATTTCAGAGGCACTCAAACAACCCAAAGTGGCAGATGGGGGGAATGTTTAATTGAACAGAGGGAAGAAAATATCTGAGGCATCTGTTTGCTTCTCTGTTGTGTTTCTGTTTTTTTCTTCCTCTCAAGAGAGGATTGTGGTGGCAGCGTGCGTGTTTGTGTGTTAGACACCAGACAGTCGTGAATTTCTGGTCCTTCAGGAAGAATAGGATAAACGAGAAGGCTGATGGGGGGGAAAGAGTGAGACAGAAAGAAACAAAAAGAGATGAATCTAGGAAAATAAGGTATGACAGCAGAGGAATTAAGGGATCATTGCTGAATGAAATTGTCATCATTTACTCATTCTAATGTTGTTACAAACCCATATGAATTAATTCCCAAAAAGTGAATTTTTGAAGAATACTCTGACCACATTTTCAATTGAATGAAAGTTAATGAGGACTCGAGCACACTCCAAAATGTGAAAAAGCACCATAAAAGTATCATAACAGCCGTCCATATGACTCAAGTGGTAGGTTTCATCCTCTGAAGCTTTATGTGAGAAACGGACTGGAATTGAAAACATTATTCAACTTTAAACACTGCGTATAAGAAAAGTAGCAATGTCTTATTCATAAACAAATGATTCATCTGAGTTCTTTTCAATGAATCATTTGCTCCAGTTCACAGATCCACTCTAAATGATTCAGACTAATTCGGTTCATTAGCTCAACTCACTGACTCAATGATCTGGTTGTAGCAGTCCAATGGAGGAACATTATCAGTGAATGGCAACTTAAATTTCAGACTGCTTGTCAACTACTGTATCATATGTAACCCTGGACCACAAAACCAGTCATAAGGGTCAATTTTTCGAAATTTAGATTTATACATCATCTGAAAGCAGAATAAATAAGCTTTCCATTGAAGTACGGTTTGTTAGGATAGGACACTATTAGGCCGAGATACCGCTATTTGAAAATCTGGAATCTGAGGGTGCAAAAGAAAATCTCCTTTAAAGGTGTCCAGATGAAGTTCTTAGCAATGCATATTACTAATCAAAATGTAAGTTTTAATATATTTACAGTAGGAAATTTACAAAATATCTTCATGGAACATGATCTTTACTTAATATCCTAATGATTTTTGGCATAAAAGAAAAATACAATGTATTTTTGGCTATTGCTACAAATATACCCCAGCGACTTAAGACTGGTTTTGTGCTCCAGGGTCACATATGGCTTTAGAAGCCTTGAAATACAGTGCAGAGTCATATGGACTTTTATGGTGTTTTTGCATCTTTTTTGAAGCTTTACAGCCCCTTTTACAGCCTCAGTTTAATTATATTGAAAAGTCTTTCTAGAATATTTTTCAAAAATTCACCTTTTGGGTTCCACAAAAAAAAGCCTTTCTTTCTGGAACGGATTTGGAACAACATGAGGCTAAGTAAATTATGAAGTGTTGTATGGTTGTTCTGGTGCAACTTCACAAAATCAACAAGGGGAGTAAATGATTTAGATTTCTGAGTAAATCATCCCTTTAAAGGGCTGAATGAAGAGCATAAGGTATGGAGAAAAAGAATGTCCCTCTTTTCTCTCTTTCAGTTTCTTTCTCTCTTAAGCCGGTGACTCAGAACGAGAAGGTCAGATGTGTTATCCGCATGTCGGAAGATATAGATGTAGGGAAGGAGGAAGAGGGTGAGAAAAGGAGATAGAGAGGGGTGATGTCAGCTGTGCGCCTCTCATTCCTGCAGGTTACTAACAGTGAGGTCATCACAGCCCACAGAAATCTCGACATACAAGGATAGCAATGTCCCTGCATGCACACACACACAAGCTTGCACTGAGACACACATGACTCAATTTGGCAGACGGATGGACGTCCACAGTCGTACGTACACACACATGCTGGCTGTCAGTGAGCTGAATGTTCACACAGACACCTACAACATACAGTATATGCACCTTCACACACGTCACACAAACGCACACTTGTACTGTATATGCCCACACCCTCATTGTTTGGTAGATGTACGAACATTTTTCTTATTTAGTTCACAAAGTCATTGGCGCAGACATGCCTACACGCACACACACACACACACTCAAATAAGACTTGATGAAAAGTGACAAGACATGTCCGAACGTCCTATGACAGCCAGCCTCGTCTCATTCTATTTTCTCTCCTGATCTTTTTCTTTGTCATAGATTTATCAGCAGAATTTGCACCTATGTTTTAGAGTTTATTAGCAGGGAAAACATGATTCCAGCCATTTTAGCCCTCAGTCAGACTTTGTGGTCTAGAGGAATGATTTTTTTGACTACAGTGAAAGAGTTTTATTTTGTCATTTTACTGTCATGGAGATGAACCCACAGATGAACCAAAGGGGTCAAGGTTGTGCTGGTTTGGATGGCCTAGTTCATCCCCTGCTGGCAAGATTCCTGCAACTATGAGGGTCCACGACAATTGTGAAAATATAAAAGAGTTGTCAAAGTTAGAATGTGCATTTAAGACATTTTTACTGTTATGAAAAAAATAAGCATATAGTTAATAAATATTTTTTATTCTTAATGTAAGAGTGGATGTGACAGTTTGTTACTTGAATGTGCGAGACTTCTGGTGTCAGTCGCTTCCGGTTATTTTAGCTAACAAAAACAGTCCATTATGCTGCTTGATATTGCAAGCTAGTATTTGTTAACACAGTATCTAATATCGTAATCATAAACGCTTTGTAGTGTAAATAGTTTTATGATTTAATACACATACTTTGCTATCATTCTAGTTATTTACCTGTAGCAGGGAAATGAATCTGAAGTCCTGCACATTCATGGGAAATAGCTTACTTTTGCGTTGAGATATAAGACGGATAAGTTCCAGTTATTTAATTTATCAAACAAACATTTCAATTTTGTTGTCTATGTAGAATTCACACTTTTCTCACACAGTATAAATGGGTAAAAATTCTTAGCTGGCTTTATATTTTAGGAAAGGGATCGTCATATTTGGGAGTCCGTGACATCCAAACATTTAAAAACCTAGAACATGAATGTCACCATCTAATGTGAAGTCTTCAGTGGTTGGGGTTTTGGAAAAACCCCACTGGGGAAGGATAGAAAGGAAATTGTTTTACAGAAATGACTGCACTACGAACATAAATCAAAAGCTTGAAAGCTGACAGAAGGGGGGAGAAGTTTAAAGTAAAATCAATAATTCTAGTTAAACTTTATTTCATATTGATAAATGTTTATTGTTATGCCGCTCTCTGCCTTTTAAAGCTATTGCACCAAAATCATTGTGTGAGATTTAATGTGCTGAGATAATGGCACGCTTTTGTTTCGCCTCTTCTGCAAATCTTGTTCTGCGTTCCGCCACGCTACACTGTAACTGGGTCACATTTAGATCATTCGGTTCGCTCAGTCTCAGATGGCACTGGCGCTCTGACCCCAGATCAGGTGCTCCTGCAGCTCTAGCGTGGGCTTGCTTTATGCCATCACAGCATGATCAGGTTCTTCATAAGGTGATCAGGTCACAGCTCATTGCTCTCTCACCAGCCCCTCCACAGGCTGGCTGGGGACTGTCCACTTCAAAGTTTTTCCAGTGCACTGCCTCTAGAGCACACACTATCCCTTTCCAACTTCATTCAAAAACAAACATCACACAGGGAATCGAGCCAATAGGATGCCCAAAACCCATAACAGTAACTGCAGAGCAAAAGGCACAGTGTGAAACTGAACTGAGAGTTGATCCTCAGAGGAGGCAAGATGCTGCTTCAGCCGTTTTAACAGGGCCAACTCATTCAGGACACATTTACACAACCCTACACTGCAGAAAACCATTTACATAAACAGTACTTTTGTCTTGATTACCAGTAAACATATCTAAACATGCTTACAAGAAGTAGATTACAAGATTTTAGGGTAATTTTCATTTTGGGTTGAACTATCCCTTTAAGGATTCAAACTGGTCTATGCACTGAAGATATGAACTTAATTATCATTAGTTTTACATTCATAATTGACACATTTGATATTACTTTTTCATTCTGTCTTCTAAAGGCTAAAATTAATCCTAAGATTATTTTTTAAAGATTACAGATTTTTTTAATTCTACTGACATCAGTTTGCCATAAAATATTATAACAATCCACTTTTGTAAAATGACAACATAAAAGCCAATTATTTAAAAATTGTGTTGTTTTTATAATAATCACACTTTTTCCCTCACACACTAAATACATGAAAATATACAGCTGCCTTTATATTTTAGTTAGGCTGCCCCTTAAAACAGGATCATCGTATTTAAGGGTCTAATAAGCAACCTTGCTTCTAAAGTGGCAACAAGACAAAAATACTGATAAAGAAAGTGATTTTTTTGCAGTAGAAAAAAAAGAGACTTTCTAAACCAGAGGAGAAGAACACCTCATGGTGTCTCATGGACACACAGGATTGAAGAAGAATGAAAACAATATTGCAAGGGATTTGTCCCATGAAATAATCGATGTGAACTGGAATTTAGCGATATAATTCATTCCCATTAGCAAACACACTCAACTGCAACCTTATCTTCATAGCCTTTGCAAAACCTAATAATAGCCATTTGTTTTAAAGGAGTCAACACCCAATACCCTTTCTGATGTTTCCAGGAAACACGTGCACAAAACAGGATGCTAATCGGCCACAACCACCATCACAAAAGCTAGTGACATCTCTCAAAGTTAGAAATGGTGTAAAAGGAGCTGAAGCAGGCAAGTCAAAATGCAGTCTTTTAAATCAGACTTACTTAGGACTTGTCATGGCATGGGGCTCAGATGCATGGTGTGCAAGGATATTACTGCAGACATGCAGAAGCACCAGTACACATACATACATGTCTGGCCCATGTGCATTTACCATTCAGTCAAGTGCCATCCAATCACAAATGGCAGAGACATTTGAGAAGCTTGTGCCATGGAGGATTACATTAGATGACAAGTCACAAACTATACAAAATTACAAAGAAGACACTGATGCGGTTTCCAAGTCTGAGGTGTCACATGTAATTATCAATGCCTCTGTCCGTAGGCGCATATGTGCGTTCGAGGGAAGAGGCGGGTAAAAGCGCTCTTTATTGACTGAGATGAGGGTCTAGGATACAATCTTACATTAGTGTGTGTGTGTGTGTGTGTTCAGGGGCAATCAGTGTTTGACAAGCTGTTGCAGGCTCTTGTACAGATCAGTGCAATGACGCAAAGAGAAGTTGTGAACAACTGATCTCATTCTCTTCATAAAACCCCTCAAACAAACGCGCACATAAATGTCCTGATGGATATCAGGAAGCCCACACAACAACTGCAATGGCAAACGAGGCACATGTTCATACACAAACAAACCATACACACGCTCCCTAACACGATAAATCATTATGTGTGAATTTTGCCGCACACACTCAAGCTGCTTTAATGCTCAATTCCAAATCGGTCACACACACTCAATCTAAGGGGCTAAATAAGTCTTCAGGGTTGAACAACACACTGGTCCTCTCGCTCTCTCGGCATCAGAGCAGAGGACAAGCGTTTTATGTGCATTGTGCAGCAAATAACAGAAATATGTTGCAAATTACAATAATAACACAGAATTCAATAAAAGTTTATCAATTTAGGCCATAAAAGAGAATTCAATTAAAAAAAGTTTTATGCTTAAACAATTTGCCAGTCGAGTAAGAAAAGAAACTTTAGAGATGTGTTCTCTAAAAACAAGTAAAACTATAAATTAAACTATAAATGATATCATGATATTCGATTTACTTGACAATTTTTTTTTTGTTTTTTTTTTGCTGCATTATAGTGCACAATGCTGTTTTTCACAATTGGGAGCATTGGTGTCAGAGCATTGGGACGGTCTGTGCAACTCTGGTAAAAACTGTGTTTGTTAGGGATACGGACACAAGCTACATCCACACCCTGCCATGAAAGATTTGTCTGTTCTGTCTAGCCCTGACAATTACAATGAACCGGTTTTATATGTGAAGAATGACACCATCCCTTGCAGCTGCTTTAGAAACGGTCCATCACCAGCAGTAGGGCTGAAGTATGGTTTGGATGCAATTGATATTCTAGCAACACACTCTCAAGTAGAAGCCAGTTGTTCTTGGTTTTGTGACTCAGACTGAGGAACCAATGCTATAGACCTTCTGCTGATAAATCCAGGACCAAAGTGCAAACGACCAAATACAAATCTTTGAAGTAAATGCTGGAATAAAATATTTACCCCCCACACCCAAAAGCAAGAGCTGCCCTAGATTTGTCTGTCAAAGCCTGAGCATGTCTGCAACTTTAACACACACACACAAAAAAACAGGGACCATTGTCGCACGTCTGAATTTCTGAATTATGTATCATGAATGCTGGAAGTACCTCCCACCACTTCAGCCAGTTGGAAATTGGCATGACTGCCCCCTGACTTCTCGATTGGGGTATTAGGAAAAAATGGAAAATAGTTTTTTCTCCATTCTAGCTAAGAGCATCATTCAGAAGATCATACACAAGCCTGAAGCATAGGAAAATATGCTAAAGTGATTTAAACTGGGGGATTTAAAATGGATGTCTGACTCTCACCGTCTCTCACTACAGTCTTTAAATGCAGTTAAAAAAAACACACACAGATGTCACAAACACACACACACACACACACACACACACACACACACGCTCACCACATGCACGCTCAATGACAAGTCTCTTATTGTAAAACACACAGCTCAAACTCGCTCTTTCCCATACACACACACACACACACGTGTGTGAGGGCAACAGAAACAATATCAATGAAAAACATTGGTCAAAATACATGGATGTCTTCAAATAAGCTTACAAAAGCTGAAATGGCCATTTCCATTGTTTTCACTCACACACAGACACATGGTTAAACCAAAACCCGCGACACCACATTCTCTGGTGCTCTTTGCATAAGTCCTAACCAGCTGGTGGGCAGGGTATTTCTCTGCAAAGCGTGCTTATGAGAGAGCCGAGATTTGTTGGCTCGATGTGTATGAGTGTGTGTTTTGGGCTCTGTGACTCAGATACCGCAGTGCTACGAGGGAGAGCGAGGACTCCTGTCTTCCTACCTTTGTCACAGCTTTTGCATGCTTTGTAAGACTTCAGGAAGTGAGAGATATCTGAGGTTGCAGGCTAGGTGAAGATCATGAGATATGTGATATGTTATAAAAGTCTCTGCCCTGTCCCACTACCAGTCCGCTTGGCAATACTGTCTGGTACACACATATGCGCGCACACACACACACACACACACACACACACACACACACACACACACACACACACACACACACACATCTCGAGGTGTATGTTAATCACTCGAGAAGCAAATGAACATATGCAAATCTCCAGCATGAGAGGGAGAATATGATAATTTCGAGTGTAGGGGATGATGTGCCTATGGAAGGTCAATGGCGTGTTAGATATGGACATCTCGATGACTGCTACTCAAGGTTCATGAATGTCAACAGTAAGGAGGTTTATTGATATGCAGTGTGCTGCGAATATGCTAATTTCTGATTTAAGAACACGGATGGCAACGGTTTTGTCCTCGTAAATGGCATCCTGTTCTGGCTCCATCCTCGCATTTGCATTTGAAACCTGAACGCTGTGATGGGGACTGTCACAGAAGCAACAGTTGCCAGGGAAACCTCACCATAGGAACCTGTTGGGACGCTGTGCCAGAGTATGGGTGCGCCAATATGTCGGATGACAATTGACACGGTGGTGTGCTCGTGTGTGGATATTTGTACGTGTTGTAGGCTAACAAGGTTTGACAAATACAGGCACTGGGACCCACAAAGATGGCACCCTGGCTCTGACAGTGTTTGGCACATTAGTGCTAAGGCGTGTTGCCGTGGCAGCAGGGTGTTGACACGGTACAGTCACACTTCTCGGCACTGATAATGGGTGACATTCTGAGAACAAGTGTGTATCAGAACCCCGGTCTCTCTCTTTCCTCCTGGTCTCTCTCTCTCATATCTCTCTCTGCAGAGAAGAACGCTACCACCAGCCAAATCACATTCTGTCTGCATCTCGGGAGAACTGTCTCCAAGCCGTAAGCTCTAAGGGTTACATATAGTGATACCTTTAAATACATGAGAAAAAGAAAAGACAAAAACATAGAACAAATCAATGCCACCAAGTTTCACAATTTCAGTTGCCAGTTTGTGTGCCATTTATATATATATATATATATATATATATATATATTAATTTCGAAGTGACTTCTGCTAAAAGAAAATTTTTCATAATTATAACGAGTGTAATATTAGCTAATTATAATAACAATAACGATATTACAATTAAGATAACACTTGATTTTGAAAAAAATAAAATAAAATATATATACTAGATAAAAACAAATAATGAAAGACACTTATTATCATAATAGTTTTGTTTTAAAAGAGCTCTATAAGTTTCTATAGTTGTCATTTATTTGTCCATTTTCATTAAAAAAAAAAAGCTTTCCAAACTCCAGTCTCGCTCACTGAGTGGGTTTTCTCTTACCTTTCAAAAGCTGTCCTCCGTTCGCTTTCTGCTCAAACAATAGTTCCGTCCACATGTCTGGACAGTGTTCGCAATAATCCATTTTACCCCTGCAGTAATCACCAGAGTTTGTGCTCTGTCCTGAATCTTGTTGATTCACGTTGGCAAAAAAGCAGGGTCCTGGTAAAGTTTTTGTCTTGTACAAAAAAGAGGGGACAGGCCATTGAGGGAGCCATTTTAAGGCCCATCCATTTCCTTGTTTGGAGGAGTTGTTGTTGTGGCTTCGTAATGCTTCAAGCAAATCGTTGTCATTGTCAGTACGTCCACTGCTATTCCAGCGTTACCGAGGGGATTATCAGCTGTAGCGACAATCACTTTTTACACAATGAAAAACAAACATCACCTCTAGGTAAAAACAAAGAGACCGACTAAATCCGCTATGCTTTTGACACTTGATGTTTTCCAATAATGATGATAGTAGTAGTAATGTAATGTCAACAGGAGCCTCTTTTTACTCAGCTTTCAAATCGGATTTTCCAAAAACATCTCACTAAAAATATCTTTTCTCAGTATAGCAGCATATAGATCAACGTTTACAGTGTTTTACTTTGTTTCCATTGCATTGCATACTATCATCATTATTGTCTTTTATAATTCTGTTGGTAATGGTGATAACTTATATCGACCCAGTCTGGATGTCAAACGCCTGCGGAATCAAACAGTTTATAATGTTAATTAAAATTACTTCTCCTCAATTACCCTGTTAGTTATAGAACAGGAAAGGGAAACCTTTTGAGACTTAAAAAACAAAGCCAAAGTATCTGAAATCAAACGCAATTTCCAGAATATCCATCCCTGTCCCTCCGTCTCCTCAGGATGCCCTTAAGTCCTGTGAGGGTGTACCAGTTTCAGACACATTTTTGTTTTTATGCAGAGAAAGGAATTATCAGTGACAAAGCGCTACACCAGCAGCTGCTAACTCTTCAAAAGCCATGGCTTTCAGTCAGAAAAATGTAAAGATTCTTCATAATTTATTTCTCTGAATGAAAATATAGTTATATATCATGTATACTTTCATAGTTTATATATTCTCTTAAAATTTGTATATCTTTCATTGTCTTTTTGCGCTTTAAGTCCTTGTTCATTTTCCTCTCTTCCTCTCAACTGTGAGAGCCTTCGAGAAAGGGGAGAATCTGAGTCCATCATCATCACGAAACATAAGCCCTCTACACAGTGCTGGTCTACTAATCCATCTTTCTTTCTTAGGACTGCGAACCTCTACAAAATTGTAATGATCCATTTTGTTATCTGAGCTTTACGGTTCTCTAAACCATTTTCAGATGTGATTTTTCGTTCTCAGCCACTGTCCATAAATACTTAAGGTTGTTCATGTATTTCTATATACACTTCCTACCTAATGGTGTGTATGGTTTTGATTTTCGTAGCATGTTTGCTTTATTGATGGAGTTCTGTATTTGATGGTGTACAGTATACGCGCAGATCTTTTTGTCTTCTGAAACGTGTCTGTACACATGAGTAGTGTGCAAAGATTTGGCTTTGGCACAGTTTGGTGCAAGTTTGGCACATAATTATCAATCTTGCATTACACAAAAACGTATCGATTTATAAGGTATTGGCAAGTGTGGTTTTGTTTGCTGATGTCTGATGATCCCCTTCATACGTGCAGATCAGAGAAATGTAAAGACTGATTTTAAACTGCTGAGTGGTTGCCTGTCTTCCTTCTTGAAATTCCCCCCACTCTTTGCCAGTGTATTTACTTGGTAGTGATTTCACAGCTGTATATTGTATTCTTGTGTAGGTAATATTTCATACAATGCTGGGTCTGCCTTACTCATTACTCCTGAGAACATACCCATAGGGGATGAACAGCCAATACTCTTCATCTGTTTCTGTCTCCCTGATACTCTTTCTCCATCTTTTATTTGTACATTTACCTTTCTCCCTCTCTCCCTTACTCTCTTTCTCAACTTCAGATCTGGGTTTCTTGGACATTCTCCTTGGAGCCGCTCTTGAAAAGCAACGGCTCAATCTGTGGGTTCTGCCCTTTACCCATCAGGCCTTTCAGTGACCCGTGGATGCCAAGGGTCGGCAGAGGCATTGGAGAAGGCATGGAGCATGATGTACTACTTACAGAGACTGGCACCTGTGTGCAAGAGATGGGGGTATTCTGGGCCTGGGAGCAGGGCGAAGGGTTGTTGTTATTGTTTAGGCCTCCGCCAAGGCCCAGACCTATCATGTTATTGTTGAAGTGATGGGCCTTGTAGTAATGGTTGAGATGCTCTGCTCGTGCAAGGTCTTGGAGGTTGATGATTTCGGGTAGGTGCAGACGCAAGCTCTGTCCGCCTCCGCCAGAGCCTCCTTGCGGTACCGTGGATCCTCCTGAGATGCCGCTGCCACGGATGCCCGTTCCTGCTCCAATCTCATCTTCGACATTAATGATCTCGATGGCTCGTGCCGGCCCGTGGTGTTTGTGCAACTGATGCTGCTTCCTCAGCTTGTAAAACACCACCAGCATGACGGCAGCCATGAAGGTAATGGCCACGAAGCAACCGATGATGATCTTGGTGGTCTTCATCACATCATCTAGTCCAGAGGGATAGTTGGGCTCAGAAATGGGGACAGTGAAAGTGGGTTTGGTTGCTCGGGGAGAAGATGATGAGCCAAGGATTGAGAGAGAAGAGGCAGTAGTGGGGACAACTTCATGCCAGAGGTGCCCAGAAGGTGTAGGCCCGGGAATATGGATAAAGGTCTCGGTGAAGGCACGCAATGCAGATTCTTCATCTCCCGTAGACTCCACAGTTTCTACAGTGACCGTGGTGAAGTAGGTGTAGTTGAAACTGACGTCTGCTGCGGTCACATTCAGGACAGCGGTTGCCGTTGTGTTCCCAGCTGAGTTGGTCACCATGCAGGTGTACTGGCCGGTGTCACGCAGAGTTACGTTGGTGAAATTCAGTGTACCATCATGCAGAACGGAAATCCTGACCCTATAGGAGCCATGGGTCATTAGGGTCCCGTTCGGAGTGATCCAATTCACAGAGGTCATGGAGGTACCAGTGCGACACTTGAGCTCAGCAGCCATGCCCTCGGTCACATTGAGGTCAGTGGGCGGCTCCACAATGACGGGGGCATAGCAGGTGAAATGGCTCTGGTCTAACTCTCCTATGTACTTTCCCTTAAGGTAGGGTGGTGCGTGGCACCGCGCACAGCAAGTTGTGTTGCTAGGCACCGTTTCTTTCAGCCACCAGCTTAGCCAGAGCACATCGCAGTTGCACACCCATGGGTTGTGATTGAGGTGCACTCGCTCCAGCTTCTGCAGAGGTGTGAAAAGGTCATGAGGCAAAGAGTGCAGGGAATTGTGGGATAGGTTAAGCTCCTCTAGGTTCTTGAGATCATCGAAAGCATTGCGCTCGATGACCGACATCTGAGAGTGCATGAGCCATAGTTTGCGCAAAGATTCCAGGCCTTGAAAGGATCCGGGTCTGATGATTTCCAGACGGTTCCCAGACAACTCTAGCTCCTCCAGTCGCACTAGGGCAGTCAAGTTAGGGATGTCCTTCAGGCCACACATACCCAAGTTCAGGTAGCGCAGGTTGATGAGTCCAACAAAGGCTGCGTCAGATATATAATCCAGCTTCTTGAGTTCGCCTAGGTCAAGACGCCGCAGCGAGGGGACACGGTGAAATGCGTAGCCTGGTAAAGTTTCAATGGGGTTATTTCGTAACCACAGTTCCCGAAGCTTGCTGAGGTACTCAAAAGCTTGCGATGGCACCAGCGTGAGGCGGTTGTCGAACAGTTCCAGAGTGTTGAGGTTTGGGAGGCCATTGAAAGCACCCACCTCTATCTGACGAATCTGGTTCTTGGAGAGCTGGAGGATCTCCAGGTGCCGCAAATGTTTGAATGTGTCTGATTTTATCACCTAAGTGAGAAAATTACAGGTACAAGTTTAGGATTAAAGTTGTGTGTGATCTGTTTGTTCCTGTGAATGATGAACATTTTAGAAAATATAAAGTCATAGACAAAGAAAGTACATTCATTTTCTGTTGTGCTTTACAGAAAAGTTGTTCTGCAAGTTGTTATCAGTCACTCTTAATGTTTGAAGAAAAACACATTAAAGGAATAGTTCACCCAAAAATAAAAACTGTCATTGTTTACTCAACGTCATGTTGTTCCAAAACCGTATGCTATTATTTTTAATCAGTGAAACACAAAAGGGGAATTTTTGAAGAATCGTCAAGCAGGTTTTTTTTTCAGGTCATAGTGACCATTTTTTTCCATCTCCAAAAAGGACAAAAAACAACAGAAAACCACTGTAAAATTAATCCATATGCCAACTCTGTGCAAGGAACAGAATAAAAGTTGCTGTTCACAGCAAATCTTACCCTCCACTATAGCACTCAAATGTAATTCGACACATTTGAACTGGCATTTGAACCATGTTCAGTTCTGACACACAATCGAATGCTGTTTAGTGTCTATGTTAAACCTGGTACGGGTCACTGGACCATTTTAGAGAGGAAAATATAAGTGAATAATGAATTAAAAATATTACGTCTGTTCTCGTACACTATTATCATACGGCTTCAAAACAACAGATGGAATACATTTATTGTGTTTCTGTTTGTTTGTTTTTGTATCTTAAAAGAAATTGATATTATGAACGGAAGGAAAAAGCACTGCATAAGGATTCCTCAAAAAGCTCTCATTTTCCACAGAACAGCATACAGGTTTTAAGCGACAGGAAGGTGAGTAAGTAATGACAGAATGCTCATGTTTGGGTGAACTGTCCCTTCAAAACCCAATGCAAAAAGGCCACACATAAATGGCTTGCAACTGTAAATCTCAGTAATGGTGGAAAAAGTCATATTATTAGAATGTGCTCAAACCTGATGAAAGAATAAATGAAAAGACTAGAGAATATTCACACATCCTAAATGCTATGGGTTCTAAAACAATTTGTCTCTGTGCATCGGATGTAGCCAGAACTGCTTTTCTTGGGCAGCGAGAAGCTTCCTCCTGGCCTACTGCCACAATCCCCTCTGTATATAGAGCAGGGGAGGGGAGGAGGGTGTGAAACACACTGGGTTGGGGGTGTTGAAGAGAAGGGTGGAATCTGTCAGAGCTGCACTCTTGTGTTATAATGCTATGGGAGAGAAAGAAGCCAAAGAATCTAGGATGCCTTCAGGTATTAAAACATTTTTAGATTTTTAATCATTTCAAGTGGGGCTCGAGGACACAACAAACCAAATCAGAATTTTTATGCATAATTGGAGGCTTGATGAAAAGCATTATTATTATTCTTCATTTTTAATAGGCTTGTTTTTGGTTAAAACTTTCACTGTCGGGGTAAACAGTGTATTTGCTGTTATCTTTTTCATCTTGAGAATAAATCTAAACCTTCACACTCAAAGTAGGTCATATTAACACCTGACTTCACACTAAAACCTCAATATTTGAGCAAGGCTGAGCCATTTGTGTTAACGCAACTCAGTGAACAAGCAACATTAGTGAAACCGACACTCAATAAATCTAAGAAACAAACAAACATAAACATCCTCTCCCAAAGCTGGATCGGAAAGAATGTTGTAGTCAGTATTTACCTGTATTGAGTTCTCTTGTAAGTTGAGGTATCGTGTGTTGTTTGATATACTTTCGGGCACCTCTTCTAAGTTTCGTTTTGTACAGATCACTCGACTAGCTTGATTAGAACAACTGCACAGCGCGGGACAGGTGGAGGCGGCTCCGACTGCCTCTTGGCCTGGGAGGATGAGCCACAACAGCAGCTGAACCAATAAGAGGAGGAGGGGGGAGGGACTAGGAAGGCTGGTCACCGTGGTGATGCGCATGGCAACTGGGTCATGACCCTTCCTGTGTTCCAAAGATGATGGTAGGCTGATTCATCCAATGTCTCCAGTACTGTCTCTTTAACTGTTGTAGATTCCTCCCGCAATGGATGTCACTTCTGCATTTTTCAGTGGAAATATTCGGTCTCCTTGGTTGGTGGCGTGTTTTGTCCTTGTTTATTTTTTCATACAGATACAATTACATAAGTTGTGTTGTCTTTGCCTTAACAGGTCCTCTTATTTGATAGGCCTCTCGGTGATGAATGCATGTTTTACTGCAAATGAGAAACAAAGAAGAAAGCCATGTTTTGTTACTCTCATAGAGTGAAATATTTCAGGTTCACATAATAGCTAAAATGCCACACAATAACAACTTGCAATCAAGTGAATGTTGAAGAAAATTAATGCATCAAGTTGAAAGGGACAAAAATAGTTTTTTGGGATGCAAAGACTAATGATGTTACATATGCAGTCTCTCGTCTGGAAAACTCAACTACTGTACATTGGTAATGCCCTCAGATTCTTGTCTCTCTTTGCATGTTAATTATCCTCTTGATAGGTATTCATGTGTTATATGAACAACAGACACTTAAAACAACATCCTAGACTTCAAATGAACTGCTGTATGCAAGGTCCAAAATCAGCTTTCTGCCACAATTCTGGATCCTGGCTTTACGCAATACACAAAGCAGATCTAGCTACACCAAAGACTATAGAATACCCAAGACGTGTCACTTGTATAGTTTTGAAAGGGGGAAAAGGCAATGCTCAATATGGCCGCTCTATCGAACGAAGCCCCGCCTTCTGAAAGAGAGCCAATCGCTAATCTGTAAAGTCAGCGCATCACTGCAACTGCCGTTAGAAGTCCCGGTTGCTATAGAAACAGTCAGCGTTCTGAGACGTGCGCTTTTGGACTGCGCATGCGCACTGTATGATATAGCGTGAGAAATAACCTTTTTTTAACGATATTTGAGAAAAATAAATAACATTTATGATACAGTTGTTGTCAGATTTCATTGGTGATTTCAAATATGAAATTGAATCATAAGCTTGGCGACCAGTTTTGGAGAATTTAATGTTTCCCCATTCAAAGAGATAGGAGCTGCACTTGCATGCCCGAGAGGCGTTTCAAAGATGGCCGCCGAGTGACATGATCTGCCTTAAAGGGGTGGTTCACTGGTTTTTTTCTAGGCTTGATTGTGTTTATGGGGTGCAGTCTAACATGTGTTAATGCTTCGTTTAAAAAAAAAAAGCATTATTTTTCACATAATTTACCTTTATTCCACACCGCTCTGTCCCTTCTCTGAGAAACACGCTGATCAGTCAGCATTCTGAGACGTGCGCTTTTGGACTGCGCATGCGCACTGTATGATATAGCGTGAGAAATAACCTTTTTTTAACGATATTTGAGAAAAATAAATAACATTTATGATACAGTTGTTGTCAGATTTCATTGGTGATTTCAAATATGAATAGAGAGAGAGAGAGATGCAGAGAGAGAGAGATGCAGAGAGAGAGATGCAGAGCGTGTGCAGAGCAGGGGAACGCGAAGAACAGTATTGAGAACCGCTGCTTTTGAACATTGATTTTGAAACTTGTGAATCCATTAGAATCATTAGAAGACAGAATCGCGATTCATATATGAACAGATTTGGCGGGGTTTATCTGGGTTTGTTACGTCACGAACCCGGGAAGTAACTCGTTGTAGTCCCTACCAGCCGTTTTTGTAGGCATTAAGCTGCCAGAATTTTAAAAGACGGTATCTCCATTTGCATTGAACTTTCAGCTTCGTAACTTTGCAGATATTGTTTATGCTCAAAATGCAACATTACACACTAACTAATGTTAAAAAAGTGAAATCGCAATCAACCACCCGTTTAAAGGGACTTTGGCTACACTCACCTTTACCAGATTCATGTACTTAGCTCCCTTGTGCATTTCTACAATAATACTGCAAGTGTGAACTATGGTACTAATCTTTATGTCCATACTCGCCCATAGACTTGAGGCTCATGGGATCTTAGAGCAGCCTTAACTGGTGCAATGTGCTTCGGTTGATGGATGGCTAATTCAACCTGAACCCCATGCAAGGGGGCTTAGCTCTCTCAGGTTATTTAGACTCCAGTAACCTTATATAAGGGTATCCAATGAGACACAGGCCATTACTAACGATGATGGCCCTAATTATCATACTCTGACATGCATGTTCATTTAACACATGATTTTACACTCGACGCAGTGAAAAATAAGAGAGGAGGAGAGACAGAAGATGGAGAGAGAGAGAGAGAACAGGGCAGAAGGCAGAAGGATGGAGAGATTATTAAACTGATAGATGACTGTATAGCTGCAGGGATAGAAGAGAATCATCCACACTAATAGATGACTACTGAGACAGAGGGAGAGATCCAAGTGAAATGTGAATGAGAGACAGACAGTAAGGAACAGATATAGAGAGAGGGAAATGTGAAGAGGATGAGATAGAGGGTGAGGAAAGAGAGGAGTGGGAGAAACATTAATATTAATCATTTCTCCCAGAGAGAGATGCATGAGGAAGGCTTAATAGAAAGAGATGAATATGAAACAGACAGAGAGATAGAAGGAGGAGAACGACAACATAGGTGCATCAAAAACAACAAGTGCACAAGAAAGATGGGAGAGATGCAGGCAAGACAACACAAGGGAATTAATATAAAACAGGTAGTGATAGAGAGAAAAGAGATAACTGAACTGATGTTTGTGTGTGTGTGTGTGTGTGTGTGTGTGTGTGTGTGTGTGTGTGTGTGTGTGTGTGTGTGTGTGTATATGTGTGTGTGTGTGTGTGTATGCCGATAAAATGAGTTTGAACAGTCAATGACGATACTAACACACACATACAAGCAGGTCTGTAAACACACTGGGTCTCGTTTACTAATAATCACGTACAAGTATATTTATTTATGTGCACTGGGAATGTTATCAGACAAAATTTCCGCCAGACAAAGTGTGTATGCACATAAATTTGTGTTATTACATGTTATTTTTTGTTAATTTTTAAAGGTCACATTAAACTTTAAAAACTTACTTCAGACCCTGCAACATATATCTGCCACAGATGATGTCACTCTATGGCTTTTCTTTTGAATAATAAAAGTAGAATAATTGAAATAGTTGAAATCTAGGCCTATCATTTACTCCATATTGTATTGTTGAGTCAAGCGGTCTGTTAGTCAAATGTCTTTCACCATATGATTAAGCATTTTAGTCAAGGGTTCACCAAACTTAGACAAAACTTCTTTCCATCTTCTAACATTTTGCATGCATATGGATGGAAGTGAAAAGAACATTAAGTCTGCACCTGTCTTCACCTGTTAAGCCATTTTTCACTCTTTGCAAATGCATTCTTATGCGCTCTAAAGATGCAAGATCCTTTCCCCTGAGGGGGATTTTTCAAGAAATGCCAAGTTTGTCATTCTTAATGACATAAAAACAATAAAAAAACTTTTGTAGAGGCTTAGACTACACATGACCAACTGCACTTTTAAAAACAAAACCAGATTGAGCTATAATGCACATTATATTGTTTAATGAAGTAGGGTCACTTAGTTATTCAGTTTATTAAGAAATATTTTCTATAAAAACATTTTGGCTTCACACATTTCCTGTTTCTATGGCCACCTGGATTCTGTGGAATATATGTATGTGTGGTTTTAATATTTATCCTAAATTTAGACAAAATATAAATGTGAACTGAATTAATGAATGATGAGTTCTGCCTGAAAATGTTCACCCACTTTCTTTAATAAGCACAAATACAAGGTGATGAACCCCCGGCTCAAAAACACACACACTCCAGTCAGGGGAACAAATGTGATGTCCCCTGCTGCTGCTTGACTGTGACCATAACCAGTGTTTTACTGTAAGCATTAGCATGCTGTTCTGGGCAAAAGCCATTTGTAGAGCTGTCATGTAACAGGAAGCCATGCCCCAGGCCTTCTTCTATAAACACTGCAACTCAAGCATCACTAATACAGTCACAGCTACCTGCAGCAATACCAGCCTCTCTTCTTCCATACTGCATCTGCTGGTAACCAGGTGGGTAACCACAGTCCCGACTGTTGGGCTATTATAGCCCCAAATGTGTTTTCAGCATCCCGGACCTTATGTGCTGCCTTTTCCACAAGTTCAATAGAAGAAAACAACAGTGTGGGAAATATTAATGATCAAATGTAAATGAAAACTGACAATGAAACTGAAGCTGTCAAGTTTCCGAAAGCATCCACACAGTAAAAAAAAGGGCCTGCAGTTATTACCTTATGGCAGTGGTTCTTAACCAGGCAGCCGGGGGCCACAGAATTATTTAGAAGTATTTAAATTAATATAATTAAATTTGTTTAGTATAATAATAATAAATCACATGTAAAAAAAAAAAAAACAAGATGAATATTCCTTTTGATGCACATACAGTTTCAGATTACAGACCATAACTACTGCAATCACAAAATAAATTGTGGTTAATTAAATATATTACATTGATTTAATAAAAAAGTTTGAAAACAAGCAGTGTTATCATAATTACAGCAGAAATACTGGAAATATCTGGAAATAATATAAAACAGGGGGCCTTCAATTCAAGCTTGCACTGCCTTATAAATTGCTGTTTTTGATTAACAACTTACAAAAGTGTCATAAAAGTGGTCCATTTAACTATATATACTATATAACTATACACTATATATAGAAATTTAAGAACAAATCTTTATTTTGAATCTGTTTCACGAAACTGGTCTAAATGATTCATTCACATTTCAGACTGATCTGGTTCTTGACTCCAGTCGCTGTGGTTCTCAGTTTAACAGCTTACTGGAGGAGAAGATTCAGTAAATAGTGATTTCAATTTAGCCCTTTTTCTCTCACAGAGCTGTTGTATGACTTCAACAAACCTAAAATAACTAAATAAAAACAGAATCTGATTCATTAATGAAACCCACTTTATAAATATGTGTGTAGCAGGAATCCTGCTGTAAATACCCCAAATATGCTAAAATGTATTTGAAATACATTTATTTCATGCTAAGTATACTATAAAAATACATTTACATATTTATGTACTTAATAAAAAATACCCTGCAGTTGTACTTTTGGTAAACTAAACTGGTATAATTAAAGTCTGCTAAATTGGAACAACTAATTTTGTGCTTAATGCACTTTCATTGTGTGGAAGTAGTGCTGAAGTCCAACTAAAGATTTACTGAAGTATATTTGATTGTGCTAAAGTGGAACTATTGCAAGTATACTT